TAATAATTATATGATGACAATAACAGTAATAATGGTAAGGCATGATATAATAATGATAATAATAAAATGATAATAATAATGATAATGATACAGTAATAATGATGACAATGAAACAAAACAATAATGAATAACACAACAACAATAATAATAGTACTACTACTACTGCTGGCTGCTCGTACTATCATAATAATAATAGCAATATAAATACTCTACTTAGCAATAAAATAAAAAGCGGGGAATTGGAAAAAAATACGTTTATGAATAAGTATGAATGATATGATAACACTAATGATAACTATATAATGATAATCAGATTATTAATACTACTATAATAATAAGAGTAATGATAAAAAATACAACAATAATAACAATAACAAGTAACAATATGATATATAGTAAGATAAAATGCTGATAATAATAATAATGCTGATAATAATAATAATAATAACAATGATGATAACAATAAAGATATAACAATTGTATAATAATAACAGCAATATAATGATAATGATCAGCAAACATAATAATAATAATCCTGATAATCATAAAAATTCGAACAATGAAAGATGAAAGCCACCCATACTAGAAGGACAAAACATTAACTGAACAAGAAGCCGCAGAACACCACAAGGACAATCGCCAATATAAACCCTTCCATGTAAACCCTTCTATGGACAATATTCATAAACAGAGAAGATGGCGTAGATGACGTAGACGAAGACCAGACCAACAAATGGCTAATATACATCTCGTCTGAAGTAGGAGGCCAATGGGTTCATCATAGCTGTTCAAAAGCCAATGTACCGAGACCAGTTATTACAGGTCTTGGAATATGGGATTGGCTCAACATGGGGAATTTACAACCACGAGCAAGAGACCATAGACCACTTAGTCACGGGCATGTCCAATATAATACAAAACAGAAAAACACAGAGACAGCAACATGTATTCACTAGCTGATATGAAAACACTTTGACAACGAAGTAAAAAAAAAAAAGTAACATAACATGAACAACAACAGAAAACGACGTAACACAAAAACACAAAGAGACAGCAACATGTATTCACTAGCTGATATGAAAACACTTTGACAACGAAGGGAAAGAAAAAGTAACATAAACATGAATCAACAACAGAAAACGACGTAAAGACCAATCTGCGGGACAAGCTAGTTCAGACTGACAAGGATATGAAGGAAAATCGACCAAATATTAAAGTAGAGAGAACCTGTCGCCTTACTACCATGACCATCTAAAAAGGACACCGGTTTGGAAATGATACAGCTCACAAAATATAAAAGGAAAATAAAATAGAAAGAATGTGGACCATAAAAACTACAACAATACTAAAGACTATAGGATTTATCGGTCTTGTTCAAAAAAGGAATAGACATTTGATCAAATCCCAGGATATATCAAACTGGAAGAACTGCAGAACATAGTCGTGATTGGTACATAGTAGGAACTTAGCACCAGAAATGAAACAAACAGGATGTCAAAAAAAAAAATGATAATAAGAATAATAAAGATTATGATGGTAATGATGGTGATGATAGTGATAATGATAAAATACAAACAATAGTAATAGTAATAATAACGATGGTAATGCTAATAGTTATAAGATAAAGATTATAACAATATTGATAATAACATGGCAATGTCAATAATGATAATAGTAATGCTGATGTTAACCGAAACAATATCTTATTATCAGTATCATTAGCATCAGCATTACCGTTAGAATTAACATTATTTTCATTTGTGAAATTGTTTCATGAATACGATTATCAGTGTTATCATCGCATTTCCTATAATCGCCCATTATTATCGAAGGAATGAAACGAATTAATCAAGAAAATGGAAAACCTTTAGATCCGCACCAGTCATTCCTTTTCATTGGTTAGTGTGGCTAGTTTCGGGCAGTCACAAAAGACCCATTTCAGAGGTGAGATTGGAAATAGTAAATCTCTCTCTCTCTCCCTCTCTTTCTCTCCCTGTTGCTCTCTCTCTCTCTCTCTCACTCTCCTTCCCTGTTGCTCTCGCTCTGTCCTTTCTCTCTCTCTCTCTCTCTCTCATCTCTTCTCTCTCTCTCTCTCTCTCTCTCTCTCTCTCTCTCTCTTCTCTCACTCACTCTCTTATCTCTCCTGTTTGCTCTCTCTCTCTCTCTCTTCTCTCTCTCTCTTCTCTCTCATCTCTCTCATCTTTTCTCTCTCTCTCTCTCTCTTTAGCGGGGGGGGGGGTAGGTGGGGAGATATTACAAATCTTTTAGTTCGTTTATTAAATCAGTTTGTTTTACCTTCCTACTATATGTTATCAGACTAGACCACGTGGACTAAAACTGCGACATTAGTAAAAACACTCGACAGTAAAACGGTATCTTAAGTTCATGATAAGGGGACATAAGGCCTGTAGATAGGGGCTTAATGGAAAATGAGAGAGAGAGAGAGAGAGAGAGAGAGAGAGAGAGAGAGAGAGAGAGAGAGAGAGAGGAGAGAGAGAGAGAGAGAGAGAGAGAGAGAGAGAGAGAGAGGAGAAGAGAGGAAGTACGAGAGAGACGAGAGGAAGAGAGAGAGAGAGAAGAAGGAGAGTGAGAGAGAGAGAGAGAGAGAGAGAGAGAGAGAGAGAGAGAGAGAGAGAGAGAGAGAGAGAGAGAGAGAGAGAGAAGAGAAGAGAAGAGAGAAAGAAGAAAGAGAAAGAGAGGAGAGTGAGGAGAGAGAGGAGAGTGAGGAGAGAGAGAGAGAGAGAGAGAGAGAGAGAGAGAGAGGAGAGAGGGAAGAGGGAGAGGGAGAGGAAGGGGAGAGGGATGAAGGGAGAGGGAGAGGAGGAGAGAGAGAGGAGAGTGAGTGAGTGAGTGAGTGAGAGAGAGAGAGAGAGAGAGAGAGAGAAGAGAGAGAGAGAGAGAGAGAGAGAGAGAGACAGACAGAGAGAGGAGAGTGGGGGGAGAGAGAGATGAGTGAGAGAGAGAGGAGAGTGAGAGAGAAGAGAGAGGAGAGGGAGAGAGAGGAGAGAGAGAGAGAGAGAGGAGAGAGAGAGAGATGGAAGGGATGAGGAGAGCAGAGAGGACAGAAGGGAGGAGAGAGAGGCAAGAGAGAGAGAGAGGAGAGTGAGTGATGTGAGTGAAGTAACGTGAGTGAGTGAGTGATGATTAGAAG